GCTGCTGGTGGTGGTGGTGGTGGTAGGTGGTGGTGGGTGGTGGTGGTTGCAGGGGTCGGTGGCGGTGGCGGTGGCTGTAGTGGTGCCGCTGGAATGGGGTAGTCTGATACTGGTGTTGGTGGTGGTGCCGGGGGTAGTGGTAGTGCTGGCGGTGGCGGCAATGGCACTGATAGCAGAGAACAAGGAGGAGTAGGTGAGTAGGCGTAGCAGCAGTAGGAGCAATAGGAGTAGTGGTCGTCGTCGTGGCAGGATCAGAGGGGAGAAGTGGCAACGATTAATTCTTGGCATACCACACGGAGCCTCGCTCTATAGCCCTGGCGTCTGCCATGCGCTCGGCGAGTAAGCTGCGGAGCCTGGACTGTAGAGCTAGGGGCAACAGGTCGCGGCGCAGAAGAGGGCATGTGGTGGGCTTGGCGCAGAAGAGGGCATGTGGAGTGTTTTCCGCTGTGATGGGGGGGCGGGGGTATTAACTGAGGTCTTGACTCTCTCGGGTCGGGTTCCATACGTATGATTTCAACTTTGCACATGGTTGTGCAGCCCGGTTACGATTGTCGGGTTAACGATCAACTATTGCGGAGTTTAGGCATTGTAGGGATTTATATAGAATTCGATTACAACTCTCAATTATGTGGCGAACCGCTTATGATAAACCTTGAACTCGCCTTTCTTGATAGCTCTGCAGGTCCCACTGGGCCATGTTCACAGTCCTTCCCCGGTACAGCTACAGGCTGCTTCAGAAACAAGTGCCCAGACTTCGGCACCTGGTTCAAAAGCCTTAAGGCCCGAACCCATGCCTAAACCTAAGCCCTGCAAGGCCATGCTGTTGGCATCAAGTGCTGACAGATATACGGCGTGGCACTCGAAAGCCACATCAGAAAGCACAGAGTGACATGTCCAAGGCGTGTATGAAGCTGATTCCTCAGGGTCGGATGAAGTGAGCCGGTCGCGGCATAGTCGCAAGAGAAACCTTCTCTGTCTTATGCCGGGGCATGCACAGGGACTATCATAGCGTTTAGGGCTTAGGACCTCGGAGTTGTGCTTTCTACGGCTTTAGAGGCTGCACGGCAGACTGGAAGTCAAACCCGTGGACCTTGAGCCCGAAAATTTGCTGCCAAAGGAGCAAATGGAGGCCCAGCGCATTGAGCGGGTGCGGCACGAAACGCGACGCGGAGAGGACCTTCTCTCAGAACTGGAAGCTGAAATTGAAAGATTATGTCAAACAACGAGACTCTGACCAGCAAGACATTTACAAAACTGAACCACGTAAGAGAAGCGCGGGAGTACCGTGAGGCATATAAACTGAGAAGGAACATCAGTCTAAGCATTTCGAACGTAACAGAATATCATGACCGCAAAACAGGTACAAGTAGCAACTCCGGTTGCCTATGCCATATTATTGCTGGATGATGAACAGTGTCTGACATGGCAGGGTTTCGTGTTGCTTGCGCTGGTGTAGCAGAATACACTCCCTGATGGCATCCCGACAGTGCCCAAGTATGCTCTTCATCAAGACAGGTGAAACATGTTATCAGAGGATATCAGAAGCTCTTGCCATAGAAGCACCCTCCGGTGGTTTTCAACGGGAACACGCCGTCTTAATCTACCATCAACACCTCTAATCACTTCATTAGTTAACAGTCTGAGCTTGGGGCACTTTCAAGTCGACATTCAATCACTGTTAAAGTTAAACAGTTAAACCCTCCAGGCACACTCTTCGTAGGCTGGGTATCGAACTGTTGAAGTTGCGAGAAAACCCAAGGCTTTGACCCTGCGGCTTGTGCTCCTATGAGGACCATGGGCCTCGCTCAGCTCGCAGCCACTCAGCCTTCGCAGTCCCTGCGCAGGTTTTGGGCTGCGGAGTGCAGGGTTCTAGTATAGTTTGCATGAACAAAGCGCCCTGGTCTTCAGGAACTTGTCTGCTTTGAACTCGGGGTTGCAGTTAATTAGGGCTGTGGAAGTCCTAAAACTTATGTCTGAGCTTGACAGAAGTGGGTGTGCATGGATTCTCATACCCGTGGATGGAACTAGTCCTAACTTCCGGTGAAAAGAACCCATGTTTGTAACAGCACAGAGAGTGAACCTTAAACCTCGTCCATGGAAGCAGCAACCTAACAGAACAGCCTTCCAATGCCGAAAGCCCCATCCCTAAATTCTGAAGTGTTAAACAAGCCGTCTCCTACCAAGCAACGAGAGGCTTAAGGTCTAGGGGCTAAAATTGATAATTGTATCCCTGGTCCCTGTACGGTTATATTGCGATACTCCCCCAAAATCTTATTCCAAGAGTGAGAGTTGGACGCCATGGCGACCGGTGTTTTGCAGGACTTGCTGGGCCTGAAATTGAGTGGCCCCCTGTCATGCGATGGAAACGTTGACCTTGGGAGACGTGGATGGTGGCACGTCGAAGAGGGAGGCGGCTGTCTGGACGTCGTCGCAGAGATTCATTTTCGGGGATAACTTTTGTGTCGGGCGCCCCGCCTCCACACCCGCACTTTTACGCCCAGAGCACCTACACCTGTATGGATCAATTAAAGACAGCAACAACAAGCCAAATGGCTTTAGAAAGGACATGAACAGAGTCAGAATAGCAAAAAACAAAGAGCAATAAACATGAGCAACGCACAGGAACAATACAAACGAAACACACATTATGATAACGAGTTCAGAGAGACAAACACACCACATTAAAAAACAAAAACAAACAGCGAAACACTTACACACAAACAGCAAAGGCCAGCACAGCGTCTTGAAGCCCGATACCAAAAGCCTTACTGCTTTATAAAACACCGGTGAAAGCTCTAAAGCCCCCTGTCAAAATTCGATGACAAGACCTGTGACAATCCTATAAATCTAGTTTATATCACCCTAACCCCCCCAGGTACCTACTATATAGGGTACTAGAGCCCCTAGGGCCCTTCATAGTAGGTACCTGGGGGGTTCGGGCAAA